CTCGACTATCTATGGGGAACTCGAGATGGAATTAATCCCTCAAGTGCAATCCCAGGTTGTAACTGAAATATATCATAGAAAAGGAGTAGGGTGATCCCTTGTCATTTTAAGAGCCAATGAGGCATTCACACCCTGTTAGGCTCAATACCCTAGGGCTTAAAGCGCAAAACAGTACCGTAATGCACGAATCCACAAGTTTTCAAAACTAGTATTTTAAAATATGGACGAGCACAACAGGATCCAAGACCACTTATCTTGATCTTATATCTCTGGAGTTGTTGGTCCAAGCATCAACATGCATCACGAGGTCATGCTAGACAAATACCTTCTAAAAGCGCCCATGTGCCCAGATCTTTTAACATCCTACATTGGGGCAGTTAACCTACAATTATATCTTATTGAAAGGGAAAATAAAATGAGTTTAGCCACCACCTATGAGAAAGGTTGAAGGACTAGGAGGTTGAAAGATTATGAGTTTGAACATTCAAGGTTCAAGTCGAGCAACTCAAATAGGGTTCAACGGAAATTTGGTAACCACCATCATAGAGATAATGGATACCAATCTAGAGGCAAGAGCAATCCAAGGTAACAAACATTAGAAACCCCCTAATTACATTGGGGTATTTGACGAATTCCTGACTTGGTCCTTAGTTGATTTACCATAAAAAGAAGCACCACCAATCCTCTAAGCAACGCAAGTCAAAAGAACCCCATTCACTAGGGGTAACCACCAAAGTCAAGAAACAGCCACCAAATCAACTACCAATTTTTAACTATCCATGAAGTCAAATCATATGATGGTTGAAAAATAAGACAAAAAAATTGAAGTAGAAAAGGAAATAAAAAGAAAAAGACCTAGGTTGAACACCCTTTGGGAACCGTGTGTGATGAAAAACCCTTTGGGAACCGTGTGTGATGAAAAAAAAAAAGAAAAAGAAAGAAAAAGGGACGCCTGAAGTCTCAAAAGAAAGCCAGAAGACGCTCACAGTTCTTCAAGTCAATATTGGTTCAGTCCCCAAAAGTAGTCAACGGATATTAGCTCGACGGAACATGGTTTAGGATCTCTCTAAGTAAATTTGAAGGACCTCAACCATCCAAACTTCAAGTGAAAGAGTTCCCAAGTACTAGGGGCAATATCATCTATTTTTCAAGATATTGTTCATTTGAAAACTTCGAAGAACTCCTCTTTGAGTTGCAACACAAGGACTAAGATTTGAAGATGAGAGAGTACTTGCTGATTCTTGGTCTTGATGATCCTAGCCAGGGTTGGCCAAGCTTATAAATGTATTAACAGGCGGACAAATTGTAAGACCCATTTTTTTTTTAAAGGTTAAAAAGCCCCTCAAAAACGTCCCTTTTGAAAATTCTTTTCCAAGAAATGTTTAGAAAATGCTCAATGCCGGCATGAGCTCAAACTACTAACCTCATTGTTTTCTAAAAATTTCCCTTCAAAATTCTATACTTTTTTATTTATTAAGTTGTATTTTCAAATTTTGTCTTAGTAGCAATCCTAAGTTTGATTGTTTCAAACTTTGTAATCTTGTGATTTCAAAAACCTTAATTTTTTTGTTAAAATCATAAACCTCATACCAATTTTTGTTTTAATAATTTCTCCCTATTTTTAAGAGTTTTCTTAAAATATTTTCGAAAACGAAGCAATGGGAGGGTTTGCCAAAGACTGTTCAGCTGATAAGCAGTTTAGTGCTGGAAGATGTGGACATAATGTTGTTGATGAAAATTCAAATCCTTGATCTTAGAAGATTGCTTAAGCAAAGAAGTATCAACCAAAAGTAAGTAAAACCTTTACTAAACCCATTATAGAAAAACCAACTATTAAATCCCATTGCCCTAGAAAAAATGATGGGTTTTCTATTGGCCGAACTTTTCTTCTATAAACATTTCTAATTCGTATTTCTTTGGTTCTATTGAAAGCTAAAACGCAGATCAAGGTGAACCGGCATATCAAGCTAACCAAGTGACCATCAGCTCAAAGCGGTGGTAGACTGACCATAACCTCGAAACAACGGTATGGGGCCCTCTCAACTCAAAAGATGACCATTGTTTCAAAGAATTGGTAGTTGAAGTCCAATAGACCAAAATGACTGACAGGCAAACCTCTCAACAAAAAATGACTACCACCTCGAAACGCTAGAAGTTGAAGTCCTATGGGTTGAAATAGAGGCACTTTCTAAGTGCTAGATATTCAAATGAATATCCTTTATTCCAAAACTCTTGTCTTAGGTGTCTATTTTTTTTTGCCCCCCAATTGTTCTTCGAAGAATAAGGCCTGCCAAATAAGGACAATTATAGACAACCCTTTGAATTTTTGTAAACTTAAAGAAGAATACAACTTCAATTAGATCACCACGGCTGAACTCAATGGCAACTCCATGCAATCCTGTCAAGGTTATGCCTAAGCAATACGTGGCGCATTGCTAGACAAAATGGGCTTAGTAATGCGCCGCGCCCCACACTTCTGAACCTAGCCAATGATTTTCTAGAGAACAACATAAATTTTTCTTTAAAGGTTCCCTCTCTAGCTTCACTTCTTCGGGATTGATTTTCACAAATTTTGGGAGTTCCAAGTAGCCCTAGAATTTTAAATTCTTGGTCAAAAGTAAAATTCAGATAAATATATCTCCTCAGACTCCTATTCCTAATAAATCTAGGGCCACTTAAAGCCTATGTACACCCGGAAGAGAGAGTGAGAAGAAAGGGAAAGAACAATAAATAGAAAAAGAGGGAGAGTGAGTAGGGAGAGAGGTAAAACTGTGAAATACAAGAAAGAAAAAAGGATAGGGGAGAAGAGGGAGAAGAAAAAACGTTGGGGAGGGAAGAAAAGGAAAAGGCACAACAAAAGGGAAAAACCCGATTTATAAACGGATCTAAGGGCAAGAGTTCAGATTTGAAGAAGCAATGTACACAAATAACAAGATCAAATCAGAGGCAAGGAACTTGAATCTGGGACCCAAAAAGGGAGGGTGAAGAGGTCAGAACAGAAGAGAGGAGGGGGATTTGAGGAGAAGAGTGAAGAACAAAGAAAAAAAGAAAGCAAAACAAAGAGAAAAAATAGGGAGAAGAACGGAGAGGTATATATATAGGGAAATTATCACAAATATACTTTAATTTTCGTCTATTTAAAAAAAACAACCCCAACTTTCATAAACCTTGTCCACACCTTTTTTTTTTTTACAATTTTGAACGTCTTGTGACCAAAATAACATTCACGTAAGTCATATTACCGTAAAGAACAATTATGGTATTTTAAGTACCGTAATGAGTACCGAATGTTATATGATACTTAAAATACCGTGAGAAAACCTTTCGGTATTATGGTACTCGAATTACTATAATACTACATAGGCAGCAGGGTTGCATTATGGTACTTTCAATACCGTGAATATGTTTAAAAGTATTACGGTACTTAAAGTACCGTGAGCACATTGATACTTCATACACAACTGTGATTGTTTCTAAACAATTCCGCGTTTTCTCACTATTTTTTCATCCTAATACGATTTCTTTCATCTTAACAGGCCCTATCTCCCCATCCCACTCTCTCTAACCCCTCCTAAAAATCTTATTTTCCCATCCCATTCTCTTTAACCCTACATCTCTCTTCCTTTGCCTCTTCTCCTCTATCTCTCTCTCTTCCTTATCCTAAATCAAAAAAGGATTTCAAGGAAGGGTTTATAATGCCTAATTAGTATTATGATAATTCGAGTACCGTAATACCAAAAGGTTTTCTCATGTTATTTTAAGTACCGCATAACATTCGGTATTCATTATAGTAGTTAAGTACCGTAATTGTTCTTTACAGTAATACGACTACCATGAATGTTGAGTTCATATGCGCACATCCAAATTGTCACATGATGCAATTTTGGTGTTAAAAATTCTTATGATGAGGCAAGAATTTATTTTCATCTCTAATTATAAAATTTTGATATCCGAATATGGTTCAAATCAAGTAAATCTATAAACACATGAAAATCATCCAAACTGTCACATGATACAATTTTAGTGTTAAAAATTATTATGATGGGGCAAGAATCTATTTTCATCTCTAATTATAAAATTTTGATATCCGAATATGGTTCAAATCAAGTAGATCTATAAACACATGAAAATCTTGAAATTGGATGATCCATATAATATATTGTTAGATGTATTATTTTGAGACTTGAAATCTTTCTTTTCTCTATATCTATACATCTCAATGTCGAGATGATCAATTAGACATTTTTCGCTACCCTTTTCTAAGGGATTTTTTATTTACCCCCTAATTCTACATTTTAATAGCATAACCTTATGTAATTTTTCTCCTTTTAATTATGGAATTAGGATTAGGACTAAATAGAATCTATAAATAAAAGTTTTTGTTCCTTGAATTCTTCTTCCCAATTTTTTTTTTCTGACTTGTATTGAATTACGCATAGCCATTAAAACTGATATTGCTTGCTTCCTTTTATTTTTATTTTATTTATTTATTTTTGGTACAAATTTGCATCATACTATAAGTTAGGTTGGGCCTGCCCTACCCAAGCTCAAACTAAAAACGTATAGGTTAGACCTGGGCCTAGCTTGGACCCAGAATATAGTTTTCGGGCTTGACCTGGCCCGACGAAATTCATGTTAACAAGGCTCAAGCCCAGCCCAAACCGACGAAAAATCTGGCAAATCCCTATAAATAGGGAAGTAAAAAACATATTGTACAACATAAAATTTTCAGGTCGGCCAATAGTCGCCCAGTCCCATCCCAAAAATATTTCGGCCCGTCCTAGGGCCGTCGCCAGCTAGTCCCAATGAAGAATGCTATCGTCATCCCCGAACAAAATGCCCTAGGCGGCCTTCTAAAGTCCAACTAGATGATGCCATTTACGCGAGCATGATCAGCAGGAAAGCACCAGGCGGCACCTTCCAAGGTTATCATAACACCTCAGCCAAGCAAAGAATGCATCAAGCACGATGAGGATTCTAAAAAGGTTTGCCACAAGAAATGAACCAAATTTTAAATACAGTTTGATCGGATTTCATGAGAAATATAATCCAGATAAATGTACCATATAATTTTTAACCTAATGCACATTGTTAAGAGTCTTCTATATATATATATATATATATATATGACAATCTATTTACAATAAAATGAGAATACTAATGAAAATACAACTTGGGAGATCACCAGGCCAGAATGATTAGGCCAAACAAACTGTGACAAGAATTAATAGAATGCTCACTTGGATGCATTTCTCTCCTGAAAGGTGACAAGCAAAGATAGCCACAACAAAACCTGTTGAAGTCTTGAGAATGAAGTTCTTCCTAATGCAGGATGAACGAAAGCCTTATGCAACTCTTGAGAACATCTGATACTCTCACCCCCACCACTGTTCCCATCCTCACAGTCAAGGATATCATGAACCATCATTTCAGGTTGACAGTAGGCTGCTTGCAATTGTTCAAGAATCCCATCCAATCGTCCACTTCCCTCATCCTCCCTGTCCATTTTTATGAGAACCTGCTTAAAATAAAGATGGTAACATATCAGACACAAGAAATGGCAAAGGGAAAGAACCATTGGACCACAAAATACCAACCAATTATGCCATCACGGTAATGAGAGAGAGAGAGAGAGAGAGAGATTCTAAAACTAGAAACAATAGAAACCTAAACGCAGAAGAGATACACGTGATGAGCCATTACCTCAGCAGAATAGCTATGAAATATGGGAGAGAACCGCTGTCTGCAATATTCGTTGAAAAGGAGAGTGAATAGAAGTAAGGGAATGGTAAAACCTGAGGCCACTGGGGAGTGCTTTATGCCAAACACTCCCAATGCTATGATTTGTGTCAGTATCAGAGAGAAAACGGTTGTGTTGTGCACAATAGGCCAGAATTGTCCCCCTGTCTCGTACTTCGAGCAGTATACATTGAGAATCTGTACCATAAGATATGACTATCAGTTGGAACCTCCTGATGGAGATGGCACCAAAGGATTATAACAAGGGACAGCACACAGTATGACCATTATCCATGGAATCAATATCCATGGAATCAATATGGTCAATGATCATTGCTGCTGAATCCATGAGATGGACGAGAGTGACGCATACATTTTGAATTAGTTTAGAAATTAGAATAGGTACTTGGTGGGACCCACACATACATTTTGAATTAGTTTAGTAATTAGAATACGTATTTGGTGGGACCCACTCTGCATAAACATCGAAACTATTTATGGCATGATGACCCCTATGATCATGCTGTTACCATGATCATGTCCAACACAGCACACAAATTCCCATATAAGTATCTCCATCTCCAAGTATACACGTACAGACTTTTTATTATCTACAACGCCTATCCTCAAAGATTGATCAAAGACCAGGTAGAAGGCCTTGTTAAACCTAGAAGATTCTAAAATAATGTTGATTAAATTACATTTGTGCAAATTTGGTAACCCTGCATGATAAATTACATACACAAAATTTGTATCGTATGAACCATATTTCTAAGCATTTAAATGGAGGAAACACTGAACTAAGTCAGTAGCCTACCAAGGATTTTGTATGAATCAATTGGCCTTCAGATTTTTGAGTTGAAAATAAAATATAGTACATCAAATTTTTCACGACGAGTAGTATTTTGGTGGCTAAAGAGTGCAATACGCTCTAGAACTAGGGGAGTAGATTTAATTTGCAAGCTAGATTTTGGAAAAGCGTCTGATAGAATGGAATTGGATTATTTGCAGAGAGGTGGAAGAACAGGATATAGGGATGTATGCTTCCTCACACTATTCAATATTGATCGACAGCAGAGCTATAGGATATCTCAAAGGCTCAAGGGAAACCCACCAGGGGAACCCTCTGCCCTTTTTATTAACCCTTGTTATAGAATCCTTCAGCCTAACGCCTCAGGCAATCAATATTAATGGGCTGTTGAGTAGAAGTAAAACTTCTAATGAAGGCCCAGTCATCTCTCATTTGCAAAATGTAAATGACACCTTAGCATTTTATGAAGCCACCATAAATTAAACTAAGAAATTATGGCTCTTCCATAAGTGTAATGAAGTGATTTCAGGCAAGAGAATATATATGAACAAGCTAAATTGAGGAAGAAGAGGTTAGGATTTATGTTCAATGCTTTGACATAGAGACTAAGCCACTTCTGACCAAATATTGCGTCCATACCATTGTTGAATGGAAGACCAACAAAGAGCCATTTGGGATCCAATGATAGAAAGCGTTATTATCAAATTCAGCTGAGTTAAGCATTACGCAACATGAACTGAATCGAGGAGCCCCGTGTCTGTGGGATTTTAAGGATGCACCCTCCTATGTGCACTGCTCACGAGTAGGGGGAATACAGAACAAACCCCCCCCCCCCCCCTCCTTCCCCCATCCTCACAAAAAAAAACACCCTAGAAATGGTTCTAAGTGGGGGGATTTAAACATAGAGATTGAAATTAATTTTTTTTCTTGAACCCAAAATTATCAAAAATAAATTTGGGGCTTTTTTGGGTAATTTGATAGTATTTTCATATTGCTTTGAAGGTTTTTGGACAAGGATTAATCAAGTAGGAGTCATCTGATTGAGAGTTGAGACATTGAGTGTATTTATTATCTTTTCTATTTTATCTCATGAACTTTTGGAATTCAGCATTTAGACTTCGGAGTTTGGATGTTAATATGTACCTATGTATTGTGATTATGAAGTAATATCATCTTTGGGTGCTATTTCATGAGTCATGACTCCTGACTACTTTGCATTTTAGTTTTATTTATGTAATTTAATCAATGGAATGAATGGATTACTTTATTTTGCATGTTAATTGTATTAGACTATAAGAGACTAATAGAGACAAACTATATGGCTTTTTATGAGGCTATCAGGTTATTAGGCAACACGAACAACCAATGTATTAGAAATAAGTACTAAATTAAAATTCCTACAATCACATAAATCACACACTAAAAAATCATATGCTCACCTAAATCACACATTTGTGTTTTTTTATGCATTTTTATTTTTTTTATAATTTATTAATTTTTTTAAAATGATGCATCCGCATTGGTACCGCATCATAGCCATATAGCACATCGGACCAGCCCCTGCATCAAGTCCGCATCCTGCATTTGATAGCACTGACAAAAAGATTTTAGAGAAAGCTACACTGGGAAAATGAGAGATTTATCATTTTATCCTTAGGTAGTAGGATGACTCTCATTAAAGCAACATTTACCAACCCGTTGATGTATTACATTTCAATGTTTATAGTCCAGGATATAGTAATTAACAGATTGGAAAGGCAAAATGAGAAATTAACTCTGGAATCACTTTGAGGGAGGGGAAAAAAAAGGATATTCTATATTGTAGGATGGCATTCAGTTTGCATTCCCAAGAAAGTAGGACGTTTGGAAATAAGGAAGCTTAAACCAATGAACAAGGCACTCTTCATTAAGTTGTGGTGGATGGTGGCAGACAATAAACCCTTTCCCTCTGGGAATCAGTAATTCAAGGAAAATATGACTTTGATAAAGATGGCTTGTTGATTAGAAAGTTGACATCCAACAGGGCAGCCTCTTAAGCATGGACTATTATAAACACTTTTTATAAGTTATGGCGCTAAAAGCAAGTTCTGATCTAATAAGTGGATTCACGATGTTACGTCCTAAAATTCAGTTTCCTGAAACTCTTACAAAATGCTCTCAATCCTATATTACCGTCAAAGATTTAGTAACTGGTTCTGGCATGGAAACTGTATGGAATATGGGGCTAAAATGCCATAGGGTGGACAATATTATAGGGGCACAGTATATGGAATTCATGGCTGATCTTAGTAGAAGAGTCTATCATAGACCTGACGAGGTCGTGTGGGACTTTCATCCCTCAGGTGAATGCGCAGTTACGTCCCTCTACAAACATATAGTGATGGATGGATAAATCCAGCGAATTCTGGGGCAGCTAAAGTTTGGGTATCACCAACGGCACACAGAGACCTGGCTTTCACCTCGCTGGCCATCAGCAATAGAGCACTAATTGTTGACCCAGGTATGATTGTAACAAACATATGACTCTTATGCAAATCAGAAGAAGAAACAAATGCAGACACCTTTATCCACGGCTCCTACAGCAGCGCTCTTTGGAAATGGTTGTTGCGAGCTTTTGAGTCCATTGGGTTACATTGGCATCAGTCAAGCAACTACTAATACAGTGGAGTTCTCTACTAGAGTTGTTGGAAACGCCAGTGATTCTGGTTCGTTTCAAAAATCGAAATCACAGAATCGCATGTGCCAGATGATTCCCAATCTTGGAATCATCGTCTGTACAATAAAAACCATCAAAGAAGTGATTCTCAATAATCAGAATCACGATCCAATAAAATAGGAACCGTGATTCTTATTTGTAGAAATCAGTATGACAGTATCCCATCATATTAGAATCGAGTCTCCTACCTTTTAGGAATCACACATGACCCCACACAATTCATTACTTCCGGAATCACAATCCGACGAAATAAGAATCATGATTCTTCCATGATTAGAATCATTGTCCCCATCGATTGAGAATCTAGATTCCCACAATTCAGGAATCGTGCACCAATCCCCTCTGATATAGGAAAGAAGTATTTTGCGAGAAAAGATTTAAAGTTTTACATAGGTGGTTCGCGATAGACCTAGATGATACCATAGCTTGACCCAAATTATCTATGTAAAACCAATCAGATACCATGGATAATACCATTGCTTTCTGTTAGTAGCTTGAAAGACCAAGATGTTGCATTTTCCTCAAAATCCAAAAACCGCAATTGGCCATAAATTTTGAGTACCGTTAAACCATTTCCTTTTTTTTTTTAAAGTGTTTAAGTCCATGCTCACCAAATATACAATGAGACAATGAGCAATAAGTATTTTACTTAGTACTGTAGATGATCATTAATAAGCATTTGATTATGGCAAGCATCCTATACGAATATCTTACCTTGAGGTGGGGCCGCCACCCAAACATCTTACCTTGAGGTTGGACTACCACCCACTTCGTAATTTATAGATTGATAAATCTCTTGGATAACTTGACAGATAATATTGTACATGGATTCATCTTGAGAGTTTATTACGGCTTTTTCACTCTCACAACATCACAGACTTGAAACTCAAATCATGGGTATTTAATGTTGTACAAAATTGTAACATGATACGAAAAGATACCTGGAACTCCTCTGGTAACGTAGAATAAGTTTCTGGAGCTCTTCTCGCAACATATAATTTGTAAACATATTTCATTCAACATTTGCATTTGAATCTTGATTCTGTTTCATCAGAATAACATTCGATGATGATCGCAGTGTTCAAAAAAGCGGACCGCCCAACGCCTAGACAGTCGAAAAGGGTTGGGCTCATCGGCGGGGCCTAGGCGGTCAAACTGAGCGGCAATCCCTGGGCGGCCGCCTAGGGGCGGAAATTTTTTATTTTTTTTGTTCTATTATTTTTTTTAAAACATAAAGGCTTTTAAGGATGGCTTTTAGGTTCATTTGAAACCTAAACCCGCAAGAACCCATTTTAGAGAGAAAGAAACTTCAAAGAAAACGGTTCCAAAGTAACGTAAAACGGATCCAAACATCACCAAGGTAGATTAGATTTAGTTTTGGAATTTTATTATCCTATTACAGGGTATTTTTTATTATTTTAGAACCTGAAAACATCTCAGAGGTAGGAGTTTGGAGTTTGAGCAATCAAAGTAAGTGCAAAACTTTATTTTTTAGATTGCTTGCTTTATTTTTAGACGTCTTCTTCCGAATCTAATAGAAGTGGAGATCCAGATTGAAAATATGGATATAACCCGAATCCAAATGACAAAAATTGCATTAGATGTAATTATTGTGAAAAATATACAAAATGGGCATAAACCGGTTCAAGAAACATCTTGCTGGTATTAAGG